ACAAAACCATTGCTGTCAAGCTGATGCCAACTCACAAGGACCCTTTAGGACAGGGTAGAACTTCTCCATAGGATCTCTAGGACTGTAATCTTTACACCTTTCTGATGCATTGTAGCTGGTAGGGTCAAACTTTCAGTTAACAGTTGAACAATTAACCACTGCCCTATAAGGGCTCTATATACAGTATTGCTGTGAAGCATTCCATTATGTATCCCACAATGCACTTCTTAAGTCCTTGTGATGGACATTTAGTTCCTTCCAGCTCTTTGTACTTCAAGCTGCATGTTAATGTCTGTTCTTATACATACTTCATTTATGGGCTTGTTGGAAACTGGGATCATTAGATCATCGGGTGTGCCCATATTTAATTTAATTACTCTAAGTATTGCTCCCCAGAAAAGATGTTCCTATTTACACATCCACCATCAGTACCAAGCGACCTTTGTATATTCTTCTACAGATCTCGGTGTTATTTTTGCTTTGCCGATGTGGTGGATGTGAAAGTAGTGCTTGATGCACTTTTTATTTTCATTTTTTTATTATGAATTGAGTGAAAATTTACAGAGTGGATAATCACCCAGGGACTTCAGGCATCAGGTAGTTTGTGTAATTCTGTGTGGAGAAAAAATAAAGAGGACTGAAGAAGCCCAGAAGAGCTATGCTGATCTACATAAGAAAGAACATCAAGGGATGGGGGCTATTCATGGGCTTGAGGGAGTAGACACCTACTAACAGGGGTGATAGAGCTTTCATAAAAATGTTTTACATTCAATAAATCATATATTTGCTTTATTACAATAATTTTAATTCCATCCATGTTCTATCAGTTAATAGTTGTTGTTGTTATGTGCCGACTCATAGTGACCCTGCACAGGGTTTCTGAGGCTGTAAATCTTTACGGGAGCAGAAAGCCTCATCTTTCTCCCGTGGAACAGCTGATAGTTTCGAACTGATGACCCTGAGGTTAGCAGACTGATTCGTAAACACTACGCTACCAGAGCTCCTTATCAGTTAATAGTATTTACCTCGTAGTGTAGTGGTTATGAATCAGGCTGCGAACCTTAAGGCCAGCAGTTCGAAACTATCAGCTGCTCTGCCGGAGAAAGATGAGGCGTTCTGCTCCCGTAAAGATTTACAGCCTCGGAAACCCTGTACAGGGTCGCTATGGGTCGTAACTGACTCCACAGCACATAACAACAACAACAACTCTATTTCCTTGAATTCTTACACTCCTCCCTGTCTCCTGCTTCTGTCAACCTCCTTCTTGCTGTATATTGCTGCCCTGTCACCCCTGTTAGTAGGTGTCTACCCCCTCAAGCCCATGAATAGCCCCCATCCCTTGATGTACTTTCTTATGTAGATCAGCATAGCTCTTCTGGGCCTCTTTATTTCTGAAAAGCAGACAATGAAAACTCTATGGAGTACAGTGGTCTAACCCACAACCAATCATGGCGATGGCACAGGACCGGACAGTGTTTTGTTCCATTGTGCATCAGGGGCCCAGTCCACTGCAGCTAACAACATATTATTTGAGGATTCTTTCATCTCACAAGTTACTTAATTTCCTCTTGGTTTATTTTGTCATGTGCTCTCTCACGGTTTTTGTTCTGCTGGCTTCTAGAACACACTAGGATACTTTTTCTACCATGATTTCCAAGAGTTGCTTCTTGTCATCTCCTTGACTGTGCCTTCCTCCTTTCTCCAATACTAAGTGTTAGAGAGTCTTGGAGCTCAATTTTTATTTATGTCTCATTTCTCTCTTCACTTACTCCTCTGAAGATGGGCTCCCAATTTATAGCTATGGGCTGGACCCCAGCCCTGAATCCAGACTTTTATTTATATTCAGCTGTCTACTCAATATTTTACTTTCTATTTGGATCTTCATTGTTGTTGGTGTTAGTGGCTGTTTGTTGAGTTAGCGCCAACTCCTAGTGACCATCATACAAACATTGCCCAGTCGGGCACCATCTCATGATTGTTGGAATGTATGAATCCATGATTGGAGTGATTGTGTCAACATCTCACTTAAAGTTTCCCTCACTTTTGTTGACACTTTACCAAACCTGATGTCTTTTTCCAATGGTTTGTCTTCTGTGATGACATGCCCAACGTCTTGCTCTTCTTGCTTCTAAGGAGCATTCTGGTTATCCATTAGGCACCTCCAACTCCACATGTCCAAAACCAAACTCCTGACTCCTGCTTCCCCCACACTTACTATTCATCTAATCTACATAAAAATGGAAATGTCATCTTGGCAACTTCTCAGATCAAAAATCTTGGAGTCATTTTTGACTGCTCTCTCTCCCTCCCTCCCAAAACCCAACCCATCAGCAAATTCTGTCAGCTCTACCTTCAGAATATATGCAGATAACCACTTCACCACCTCCACTGCTGCCAGCCTCATAAAAGCTCCATCATCTCTCACCTGAATTATTATTTTTAAATCTTTTCTTTTAAAAAATGTGTTATTTCTTATTGAGGTGAAATTCTTGTAGTATGCAATTGGTCATTTCAAAGTCTACAGTTCAGTAGCATTTAATACATTCACGATGCACTGCTGTTGTTGTTGATATTAGCTGCCAGTGAGTCAGTACCTATTCATAGTGTCCCTATGCACAACAGAACGAAACACTGGTCCTGGGCCAATCTCACAATTGCTGCCACGCTGGAGCCCATTGATGCTGCCACTCACTGGGGGTCTTCCTCTGTTTCTCTGACCCTTCACCTTACCAAACATGATATCCTTCTCCAGTGACTGGTCCCTCCTGACAATATGTATGAAGTATGAGAGATGAAGTCTGGTCACCCTGGCCTCCAAGGAGCACTGTGGTTGCACTTCTTCCAACATAGATCTGTTTGTTCTTTTGGCAGCCCATGGCACTTTCAATATTCTCCTCCAACACCATAACTCAAATGCATCAATTCTACAATCTTTCTTATTCACTGTTCAGCTTTTGCATGCATATGAGGTTATTGAAAACACCATGGCTTGTGTCAAGAGCACCTTAGTCTTCAAGCTGACATCTTTGCTCTTCAACACTTTTAAAAGGTCTTGTGCAGCATATTTGCCTAATGCAATATGTCATTTGATTTCTTGACTGCTGCTTCTATAAGTATTGATGGTTGATCCAAGAAAAATTAAGTCTTTGACAACTTCAATCTTTTCTCAGTTGATAAGAATGTTATAAGGTTGCAACATCAGCATATCACAGGTTGTTAAAGATGTGCAGCCATCACTTTTATCCAAAACATTTTATTTCCTCCAGTGTCTAAGGACCTTAGAGGGGCTCTAGTAATGTGGTCTTAGAGTCTGATGATTTTGCAAACATTGCAAAAAGGAGACATTTAACATTTAGTTGGTTAAGGATATTGCTTTTTCCTAGCCCTACTCCACGGCACATAACAACAACAACAGCAACTGTCTTTTCCAGTGCCCCCTCTCACATGCTTCCCGTTGCCACAAGTGTTGTTTGAGGGGCCCCAAGGTCTTGCTGTGGGGGAGATAAGTTGAGGATTCATTTAGATTGAGTTTAGTGGCATATTTTTTGTGTTTCACAGACACGCCCACGTATACATAAATTACCATGTAAATATAAGTTGTCCCGGAAGGTGTCCAGTGGTGCAAATGGTTAAGCACTTGGTTGCTAAACAAAGGGTTGGTGGTTTGAACCCACCAGCTGTTCCATGGGACAAAGATGCAGCAGTCTGCTTCTGTGAAAATTACAGCCTTGAAAACCCTCTGGGGCAAGTCTACTCTGTGCTTTAAGGTTGCTTTGGGTTGGAATCAACTTGACAGCAACCAATAATTGGCCTGGTAGCAGAACGGCTTCTGGGAACGCATCCCTGTCCACGGTGCTGAACTCATCCTTTAGTGACAGAATCCAGAGGCACGTAGGTTATGGAAGTGAGACAAGAGTAGAAAGAGCCAGAAGCTAGTTTGTGGAAATACTTCCCCCAAACATATAGCTATCATGACTAAAATGTCATGGAAGTTTCCCCAAACTTCTTAAAAATTTGAATGACATCATTAATGCTGCCTTACGAAACGCAAACTTTTTCTAAACAATTATGAATCAAATTAAAGTTTGAAATAATTTACTTTCCTATAATCTCTGTAGATAACAATATCATAAATGTATGCAGCCAGAAAAGCAGTAAACATATCAGAGGTTTACCTGGCAGTAAATTAATGAAAGCATTTTGTTATCTTGGGATTTTGCAATATGTGTGGTATTTATCAGCACTTTCAAAACTGTGGTTTGTTATTATTCACATTCTAATTTTTACGGTCACATCTAATTATGTTTGCAATTTTTGAATACTTTTCCTTAAAGAGGGCTCCTCCATTCTATAAGCTTCCATACCATCAAAATCTGTATTGACTCCTGCGGACTCACTGCCGCAAAATAGGGATGGTTCTTAAGCTGTGTGATTCCGGGCTTGTGGATGTACCTCTCTGAACCTGCTTCCTTAGCGGCAAAGTAGTGTTTATTATGCAGGGTTGCCTGCAAAGTGTTTAATACAGACCTTGCAAGCACCGTACGACGATAAATCTCAACTTGTCTTTGCGCTAAGAACATTCCCTGCTAGCTTTCCGCGGGGTAGCCAAGATCTCCCTGTGCGCGTGCGTCTGTGGCCCTGCACTTCACGTGGGCACGGTCTACCACGCCTTAGGGGGTGGTAGGCGGGGTCAAGAGGCTACTTCCGTGTTTCTCAGCTCTCCTCCTTCACGCCCTCCAAGGACTAGACCTCTCTGTGAGACTGGCAGCTCTATTAGACCGTGATCATTGGAGAGGAGACTGACGATAGGTTGCCTCCCAAATCCATTTGGGAACGCCTCTTCCGAATTAGCCAATTGTAAACTTTAAAGGGCGGGTTCTCCTCTGGGGCGGGACAGAGTGACGGGCGTCTAACTAGAGTAATGGAAGCTTGACTGCGGCTAAGCGCAGACCAATCAGAAGCGAGAAGGCCGGATCCTGAGGCGGGGCTGGAGCTTCGGCAGTTGAACAGCTCGCGAGGAGGGGTGTCTGTGGAGAAGGTGAGAGACGGCGAGAGCGGCGGGTGCGCAGGCCTGGGCCCCATCCGTGGGGGGAGGGGGTGCTCTAGTTGTGAGTGGGCTACGGTGGGTAGCTGACCCGGCAATGTAGAAATGAGGAGGGCGTGCCGTTTAATACGTATAGGCGCTTTAAATGAGGGCTTGTGAGGTGGAGGACTGGATGTGAGTCTGGGGTGCTCTGTCGTAGGATGGTCTTCAATGGAAACTGTGTGAAGCAGAGATCAGTAGATGGTAAAATATAGAGATGCCCTTTTAATAGGGACTTGGCGATTTAGTTGGAAGGTGTAAGACAGAGGGCTATCATAGCTCTGTATAGAGGGGCGGCGGGGGTCTCCGCGATGAGTTAAAAACTTTGATGTGAAGGTGAATATTGGGTGGGGGGCATGTGAAGAAGCAATTTGCTGATGGACTGGACTATATATGTGGGGTGAGGAGGGAAGGAAGGAAGGGAGGAAACCTCCAGGGTTGGGGACGTGAAGATGTCTTACTGGTGGCCTGAGTCTTGGCTTTGGGTTGGGGTTGTCCGAGGGCAAAAAGGGTTGGCTCTGCCACTGAGAGTCTGTATAGTAGTGGTTCTGTGTCTCAGTTTCATCATCAATAGAATGACCTCAACTCTTCTCTGTTTATACCACTCCCCTGGTGGCCTCACCCAGCTACTTGGCTTCAAATGTTCATCTTACAGTGACAGCTCCCAGATGTCACTCTCAAGCCTGGATCTTTCCCTGAAACCCCAGATTCACGTATTCAATGGTTGACCCCTCTATTCTGAAGTCCACCTGACATCCAGCCTTAAACACCTCCCACAGCCAGCAGAAATGATCCTGTCAAAACAAAACTCAGCTCATGTGGTTCCTCTATTCAAACCTGACCATGGCTCCCACCTCACTCAGTAAAAAGTCCTCACCTGGCCCACAAGTCCCCACACAGTTCAGCTTCCCCCTCCTTGCTGCCCTCAACTGATGTTTCTTGCCGCTTACATATTGCTTCAGTTATACTGACCTCCTGGCTGAGCATGGAGCAAAGCAAATACATTCTCACCTCAGGGCCTTTGTACGTGTTCTCTTTATGTGAATCACATCCACTCAGATGTATGTCTGTGTGGCTGTCTCCCTCTACCTTGAGGACTTTTACAGATGCCAACTCTGAATATAGGCCCTGATTACCCAGTGAAGGTCATCTTTCTGCCACTCTCTGGCCCCTTTGACTAGCTTTGTTCTTCTTTGTAATAACGACCACTACTTGACATATGTTATTGTTAGCTTATAGCCACTGGGCTTCTCAATTCCCCACATGTGAATATGGAATTCAACAGCCAGAAGAGTGCCTAGCAAATCAAAACCTCCCAAACCAAACCTCCTGCCATCAAATTGATTCCAACTCAGTGACCCTATTTTTGTTATTGTTACGTTCCGACTTGTAGAGATGCTTTATAGGGTTTCCGAGGAGTGGCTTGTGATTTTGAACTGCCAGCCTTGCAGTTCAAAAGACAGCGTCACACCAGAGTAAAACGGCCCCATGGGATTTTTGAAGTTGTATGGCGCTGTGGGTTACTGTGCCAGACTGCAAAGCCGTTTGAACTGCAAAGTTGGCGGTTCAAGCTCACCAGCTGCTCCTAGGAAACCTTACACAGGGTTGCTGTGGGTTGGAATCAACTCGATGGCACGTAACAACAACAACAAATTAAAAAAAAAGCTTTTTTATTGTGAATTGAGTGAAGGGCAAGTCATAATCTTTGTTTCATCTGAATGATGGAAATCCCCTCCCTGTAATATCACGTACTCTACTTCTTCCTGGGGGTTCTTATTTCCATCCTCCTCCTTCCCCCCACCCTTCTGAGTTGTGTCCTTAGGAAATGCTGCCCTTTTACTCTGGAATGGTGTACCGTTCCATGGTGTGCCAACCTCACTGGTGGTGTCCTCCTCGTAGACCGATTTGCTGCTTGGGTGAAAATTGAACCATGGGATGAGTTCAATCCCAGAGAAGGGTCACCAAAGGCCATAATCTTGGGGTTCTACCACCAAGGCTGTGAAACTTTAGGGAAGCAGACAGACACATCTCTCTCTCCAGTAGTGGCTGGTGTGTTCAAACTGTTGACCTTTCAGTTAGCAGCTGAGCCCTTAACTTCCAATGCCACCAGGGCCCCTTGCCTGACACCTAACATGTTCAGTTCTGTTGAGAGTCCCTTCCCACTCACAGCCACCTTATATAGGTTTTCTAGAGCAGCTAGTTGGTTCGAACTGCTGACCTTTTGGATACCAGTCCAATGCTCATCTTACAGTGCACACCAGTTCTTGGCACATTCATAGGTGCTTAAAAGGTTACTCCAACCATCACTGCCATTTCTCAAGGGTTCCCTGTGGCATGGGGCAAGATGTTGAGCTGGGATGATCTCATGGGTTGTGGGGTCAGTTTGGGGATAATGAACTGGACAGACCACAGTGCTCAAGGGTAAATGTTCTCAACACTAGTGTCTGGGGCAACATTAGAAAATGCAGATTCCTGTCCTTACCCCAAGAAGTTTGGGACCAGGCCTGGAAACCTGCATTTTCATTAGGTGCCCCTACTTATACCCTGGAGTCCTGGTGTGGTACTGTGGGCTAATGCGCTGGACTGCAGAGTCTGGACTGCAGTCGGTTTGAACCACCAGGTTGGTGCTTCAAGCTCACTAGCTGCTCCTTGGAAACCTTATACAGGGTTGCTGTAGGTTGGAACCGACTTGATGGCACTTAACAACAACAACAACACTTATACCCTATTCCCACTCATTGTCATAGAAAGAACTGCACCATCGGGTCTGCTGTAAATCTGAGGAGTGGCTAGTGGGTTTCAACCGCTTACCTGCTATGCCACCAGATACTCTTAGTGTTCCTGATGTCGGTGGCTCTTGAGAAACTGCTCCTTGTTCTGCTACACCCTCTGCTGGGCAGTGCTGGGCAGTGCCGGGGATACCGGTTGTGATGGAGACAGTCCTTGATCCAGCTTGGGGCTCAGGGAGGGCTTCTTGCCAAGGGAACATTGGAGCCGAGATTTGGAGGATGACAAAGAATGAGCCAAGGGAAGGACCTTGGCTATATCCCCAGTGTCTGGAACTTCATTTCCTGGCATCTGCTATTAATTCACTAGCCACCCCTGGTTGATGCCAGGCCCAGGGAGTTGAAGACACAGATATAAGAATGATGGAAATGGTTCAGCCCTCATGGGCTTTCTGGCTGTGGAGAAGGCTAACTCAGCTAACTCACAGAGGATAACAGTGGTCCAGTGCTACTGTGAGAAGCCCCTTATATGCATTCATGAATTGAATCCCCATCCCAATCCTACGAGGTGAGCGCTCTAAAGCCCCACTTTACTGGTAGGGGAAAGACCCAGAGAGGAAATGCTTTGCCCCAGGTCACACCTTGGGTAAATCACAGAGTCAGGATTTGAACCCAGGGGTGCCTAGCCTGTAGCCTGTGCCTTAATTAGTGTCAGGGAGGAAAGAAACAGGGAGTTTTGGGGAAAAAATGGGGACAAAAGTTCCAAGCCCTAGTGTGGTATCCGCTTCATTCTCTATAAAGAGGGACCCTTCTGGTGGTGCAGATGGGAGGGGCTTATTGCTGATCATTTGGTACAGTGGAAGAAAGACCTGGCAATCTGCTTCTGAAAAATCAGCCACTGAAAACTCTGGAGCACAGCTCTACTCAGACAAACATGGGGTTGCCATGCGTTGGAATGAACTCAACAGCAACTGGTTTATAATGCCTACTGATGAGCAGAATGAAGGGAAAGGATTACTAAGGAGAAAGCATTTGGGGGGCAAGTGCTGTGGGAGGCTGTGGATGCCCCCGAAGCAGGGAGAAGAGGCTGCAGTGTGGAGTACTGAGAGGTCTGGTTTGTGGGATGTCCTAAAGGACTGCGTGTATACATTCCAGGAGGCAATATAGGATGTGTGTGTGTGTGTGTGTGTGTGTGTGTGTGTGTGTAGTGGGGGGTAGGGATGGGAGTGGTGAAGGGATGAAAGAGAAGGGGTCCTTTCACACTCAAATTCATGCATGTGGTGGGGAGTGCTGCATTGGGGAGTTCAGCGAGGGCACGACTGGGCTGGAATATGTGCTCGGGGCTGCCAAAGGTGGGAAAATAGCAATGGGATGGGGGTTGCTAGGGGCGGTTATTTACGGGGTTTCTGATGTGGGAGATGGTGATTCGGATTTGGGAGCGTGGTGCTACTGAGTGAGCACAGTGAAATAGATAGAATATCCCCACGGAGCTTAGTTCGGGAAGAGGGGCCAGGAGCGGTGATGTAACCCTAAGAATGGGGACTGGACAATGTGTTTGGGCCATGATGCCGTGAGGTCCGAAAACGGGTCAAATGTGGGGACCAGAATGGAGTGTTGGGGTGTTGCGGGCCAGCGTGGAGCTGAAGTGGTGACGTCACAAGAATGTGGGCGGGGCCTCGGTGGCAATGCTGGAGGATGAGGGCGGAGCTCAGGAAAGAGAGGTGGAAAAGAGGAGCTGGGGGACAGTTGGACTGGGACTAGACCAGAGACCAGGATGGACAGAAGATGCAGGTAGAGCGACGCTGCCAACGGAGGGGTAGGGGCTAGGCAGGGCCTGGAGAATTCTAGAAATGGGGGCAGGGGTTCAGGGATCACACAGCAGGGAAGAGATGTGGAAAACGTGTGTGTGTGTGTGTGTGTGTGTGTGTGTGTGTGTGTGTGTGAGAGTTTTCACAGAATTTGGGAGGAACTGAATTCAGGTAAAATATGGGGGTGACATACAGGCTGTGTGTGTGGACTAGAACCCTGACTAAATATAAGGGTAGAATCCAGGTGGAATGACGTGGGAGGGGGCAGAATCCCGGGAGCCTGTGGGCCCCCATTTTCATGAGGGACTGATGTAAGAGCACTGCGGATATCTGTTCTTCCCACCCCCAGTCTGGGAAAGCGAGATGGAAATAAGGGACTTCGGGGTGGGGTGCGTTAGAAGGCAAAAGAAGACAGGGCTGA